GATTACATTATTGGAAGCATTTAATTGTACTATTCACAAAACAGAAAAAACTGGTACTCAAATGCAAAGTATCCACCTCACCCTGAACAAAATACCTGAACATAAAGTGAACATTTACAGACATGCCACAAACAATTCACATTAAATAATATCCCCAGTACATGAGCTATAGAATAGTACTGATTTTCACCATTCTTTCATACTGTCTTCTCCTAGATGTCATTACTTACACCACTGTTTTGCAGTAATTGTTATAATTATATAATATATAAATGCATAATTATATTGCATTTTTTGGAGCACACTGTACAGTACCTCAATGACAAAATGTTATATTAACACATTAAATATACTGATCTAAATATAGTGCACACTTGTATTAGCTACAATGCAATTTACTACAAAGTTCATGCCTGACAGTCATTGATATCACTACTCTGAAATTGACACACAGAAATACGTGTCTATTTGCTTTTAAATATACAGGTAGTATGATACTGTGTGGTTTAAAGCCAGTATGTATATAATAAGCTTTTTATCAAAATATGAAATCAGATTATCTCTGTTTTCTATTACTAATAATTCAGTATAATTTAAGTTACTTAAAAATAATAAGTGTGAGGATATTAGTGTTATATGGTATTGTGACAGTATTGTATAGAATTGTGGTGGCAAAGAGTCCTGGCACACTTCACAGTTTTATAGAGAAGTAATGCAGTCCTACATCATATTATTCAAAACAATTAAAAACATTGTGGCTCTGCAATATTAGGCGTGCCACAATGTTTCCTACGGCATACTAACTGACAACTTGCGCATTCTAGATGGCTGCAGCTGTAGGCAGAGTGACTGAGCTGAACAACACATCTTACTGTTTGAGTGTAACAAACAAGGCAGCTTGTTCTCCACTCTGGACAAGTAAAGTAAGGGCTGAGTGCTGCTGCTGATGTTGACGAAGGAGAAGACTACAGGCACGATGTAGCATGTAAATGCACTGGCATCATAATACTTCTGGAATGGAAAAAGAGCTACAGGTGGGAGGTAATTAAACACTATAGTAGCCAGAATAGAAAGAACTATCTTGAAGGCCTTCTTCTTCATGGGGTGCATCTCATCTTTCCCTGGTCCAGATCGCTTCAGTGCCCACAGGATGGAGATGTTACAGAAGATCATGAATGCAAAGGAAGCCAGGATGCTGGCAGTAAATATCTTGTCAAAGTTCTCAATCTCAGTCCCTTTGAAAGCCTTGGTGATGGAGTAGGCTAACGTGATGGCCAGCACCACCACTGACAGGCCTGCTCTGTATTTGTGATCTTTGAGGCCTGTGAAAGCAATGGGGTGCAGCACAGCTATGTACCGGTCTAAACAGATACAGGAAAGAAACAGGGGACTTCCCATATCTTTTATACCATAGGCAAACCTCTGAGCAGCCTTGGCATCATTGCTTTGAAGCACATATATATTAATTAGGCCCAGAGGGATCATGCAGCCAAAAAGTCCATCTAGAACAGCGAGGTTAAAAATGAAGATATCTGAAGTGGAGGATTCATTTTTGTGTTTCAGTAAAAGCCACATGACCATTATGTTGGCTGGTATACCCAGAAAAACATTGAAAATCTGCACTCCTAAGTCAAATAGAAGACCAGCAGGCATTTCCTCACATCCATCAAACGGTTCCCATATATTGCCTGAAGCATTGATCTTGCTGTTGTTGAAGGAGGAGGTTGAGTCTGAGTAGGAGGAATGTGTCATAGTTTATAGCAGAAGAATTGCAGTCCAATCAGCAACATCTAGAAAAGTGAAATGGAGAACCATTTTAAAATGTTAAGCACGAAGAACAGGCCACCAACATAAAGAATTGGACCAAAATAAATTAGAAAGATGACAAGACTAAATCAATAAACTTAAGGAACCATTGGGATGTTAACAGCTGTAGATGTAAAAGGGTGGGTAACTTAAATTGATAATGGAATTAAATGAGAAGTTATGTTCCAGTAAATGTTGTATTTTTTTTAAAAAAACAGTTGTTTGGTGGAGAGTTTTGATTTGTAGATAGATATATCACTTTATTGGCCAAGTTTCCACTTACAAGGAATTTGACTTGGTGAGTTGCTCTTACGCTGTATACATACAGACCTACCATATATACTGTACATAGACACATAAATCACAATATACATTTCAGGAACTAGAGGAAAAATATGTATTGGACTTCAAGAATATGTCAAAGCTCTACCTACGTGTGACAACCCCATACATATATACATATTTGTAGATGATAAATAAACTGGCCATATCCAGATATCCAGATACAGATAATATTATTATATTATACAGATAATATTATTTTTTCTCAAACTTGTGTAGCTGTCAAAACAAACAGTACTATAAGCTAAAGCAATAGAAATACTAAAGCATTAGAAATGATTATGCTAAACAGCCCTTTCAGTTGAGCTGTTCAAACCATGTCCAGCTCCTTTCCAATAGCATTCCCTCAGGCTGTAACAGAATCAGTTGATTTTCTCAGAAATGGCATATCAATAGGTTAGCCTATGATTTTATATATTTTACATATATTTTAATACAAGATGGCACTTGGTGCTCCCAGTTGCATCATTATTGAATATTATGTTTAATGGGTTTCTTGTTTTCTCCTGCCTCACACATTATGGAATCCTTCACCACAGAGTTCTGTGATGACAAGATCATCATGCTACTGCACAGCAAATATAATGAACAATTGAATTAATAATCACTGCTTATTAGCTTATTTGTTTTACTTACAAGTCATAAAACTTTCAAAATTCAAATCATAATACATATCCCCAGTTTGGTTTAATATACAGTATACTAAGTAACTTATCACTCTATGCATGCTTTTAGAAAAAGCAACAAAAGAGGACTGCATACAAGGAAAAGCGCCTGTTAACCACAGTAAAATATGATGGTGGATCATTGATGCTTTGGGACTGTTTGCTGTTAGAGGTCCAAGGGCTCTTGTTAAGATCAAAGGCATATTGAATTCCACTAAGAACCAGGATATTTTAGCCCACAACCTGGCTGCCTCTACCAGGAGGTTGACTTGGCCGTAGATGGACCTTTCAACAAGACAATGACCCCAAAAATACATCAAAATCAACATAGAAATGGTTGTGGGAAAACAAAATCAATGTTTTGCAATGGCCATTTCAGTCTCTGGACTTGAATCCTATTGAAAACCTGTGGTCTCAATTGAAGGGTGCCAATAATTCTTGAGTTGACTGTATTTTGGATATTGATCAAATGCTTTTGGCATTTGGTTGTGACGAAGCCAGAGCCCAACCTGGCAAGCAACCAGCACCCAGGATTGCCAGAGCATACAGGACACAAGTATACACATACATGCACACCAGGGCCAGTTTTCTCAGAAGCCAATTGCCAGAATGTTTTCAGGGGGCAAACAGTTCATATTTGGAACCCTCGGGTGTAGATATTTTACCCTCCAACAAATGCACACTCTAGAGAGGTCATGTAGTTTTCACACCCATCAGATTTCCATCTTCTTGACATGTGGGAGAAAACTGCTGTGCAACAGATCAAGTTTTTGGGAAGTCCTTAACGTGACTTATAGTCAAACCCAGAGACACAGGCCAGCAGACTCAGTGACTACACCTCTTCTCTAATGTATTACTCTGTCCAGTCAACATGTGAAGAAATAGTCAGGGGGGCTTCATTGACTGACACCTCCATTGTAAACTGCAGAGGAAACAACCACAGTGCTGCAAGACAGCTGCCCATCATAACCATATTTCTAAAAGCCAAATGTTTTAAAAAAATGAACTGTTACAAGATTGTACTGTTTACATTTGTCACTAAATACAGGCACATCCATACGTTTTCCTACCACTTTATCCAGTACATGGTCACAGAGAAGCCAGAGCCTAACCTGCAATGGGTGCAAGGCAGGACACACTCTGGGCAGGACCACTCCAGTTCATTGCAGGGCACACAGTCACAAACACAGACACTCACACACCAGAGCCAGTTTTCCCAGAAACCAATCAACCTACCAGTATGTCTTTGGACTGTGGGAGGAAATCGGATCATCTAGAGGAAAGCCCAAACAAATTCAGAGAGAACATAAAAATTCCACTGTGATAGCACCCCAGCAATTGAACTAAGGACCTCAGCACTGGGAGGCATCAATGCTAACCACTGTGCCATATTAATAGAAGTCAAATGTTTTCAAGAAGTGAAAAGATGGGGTTGCACTGTTAACATCCATTCGTCCATTTTCTAGCCTCCTTTCCCAATTCAAGGCCACAGGGAGCTGGATCGCATCCTGACAAGTAGGATACATCCTGGATGGGACACCAGCCTATCACAACTGTTTACATTGGTCACTAAATATAGACACATTGGCCTTGAAAATCCTTTTCTCTGGTGATCCAGAACACTTATTTTGCATGTTACATTATATACAAAACATCTGGATTCATATTTTTATCATTTAAGGAAGGAAGTCAGTTGGCCATTAAGGATCCTTGGTTGACATACTCCATACTTGAGAGACTAAAAGTGACAACATGCAATAAAATCTTGTGCATAGATTGCTTTGTAATGAAATTCACTGATGCACAAGTCTGATAGGTATCCAAAAAAGTCTGTTAGGTATCCAAAAAAAAAGGTATCCACCCTACAGCAGGTGGTGAAAACTGCCCAGTCCATCACTGGGGTTGCCCTCCCATCTATCCAGGACATTTATGACAGACGGTGCTTGAGGAAAGCTCTAAGCATCGTCAAAGACCCCACACACCCCAGCTACAGACTTTATGATCTGCTACCATCTGGAAATTGGTACCGGAGCATTCGGGCCCGGACTACCAGACTCAGAGAGAGTTTTTACCCCCGCACTATCAAACTGTTAAATTCCCAGCCTCTCTCACTCTCACTCTCACCTATGATCTGAACCTCACAGTGCCTTCTTTCTTACCAAAAACCCAAACACACATTGAAAATCTACCTCTACCATACATGTCAAAAGCTTACTCCCCATAATTTCTATCCCTTTATTTCATTCTGTTGATGCATATTTTTGCACATAACCTGTTACCTTTTTGTTGTTTTGCACGTTGCCTGTTGTTGTTTTTTTTGCACATTGCCTGTTGTTGTTTTTTTTTTGCACATTGCCTGTTGCTGTTTTTGCACATCGTCTGTTGTTTTTTGTACACTGCCTGTTGTCTCTGTCTTTCTTTTGTTATACAATTGTATTGTTGTTGTTGTTTTTTTTTTCTTGTACTACTTATGTCCGAGAGCTAGCTAAATAGCATTTCGTTATACCATATACCTGTATATGAGTATAATGACAATAAACTTGAACTTGAAAATGAAAACTACAGAGGGCAGGACTAGAATGCAAATTTGACAAATGTAACCCTGCAGTCCTAGATACTGTAACTTGGATTAGTGCTTTGCAGTTATAATTGTATTTCTTACAATTTCTTACAATAAAGTATTTCTCTCTAAGGAGTTAAAGGAGTTCAGAAAATACCACAGCAATAACCAGTGACCTGTAACAATACCATCAGCTCAGTGTTTTTTGGTGAGAGGGCTATTTAAAAAAAGCTTGCAAATCAACCATAGTGCAATGGTGTGCCAACCCAGAGACCTAAATAATATGTTTTGATTCCAGAGCAGCAGCAACAAAAGATCTAAGCAAAGGTTTAGGTTATCTTTAGCTATACAAAAAGCTTTGAAAAGAGCTATAGAAACTTTGTTTAATTTTTGCTCCAAATTATTATGTATTTCTAGTATGGTTCACACAAAAAAACAATAATTTATGTAGCACTTTTATGATCTTAGCAAGTGAAAGCCATTATTCCCTGCAAAGCATGTAACCTTGTGGTCACTGGATTGTATCTATGAGCATCATCTGTACTTTCACGTTAGACAACCAGCCAAACTCACAACAAGTAGAGGACAAACTCTAAAATGATATATTTAACTAAACAAATTGTAATCGAATGCAGTTCACATAAATACTTTTATGACATTACTATTAAAAGATGCATGACAGTTAAATGCATATGCAGTTAAAGAAAATACTAAGGCTAAGAACAAAAGCTTAGTCTTACAATGTCCAATAAATATATATATATACCACCAAACTCAAGCACTGTTTTCGTCTTTTGCATACCTATATCACGTTCAACATGAAAGAAAAATGTCTCAATGTTTTAAAAAATACATAAAACAGGTATCAAAGTATACCTTTGGTACACACAGCATGTTTTGGGGTATAGATTGCCAAATATTCCAGTACAGCGGTATACTTATTAAATCAGTGCATTTGGTGGGAATGCTATAATGGGATCTTTTGAATGCACTGTTCAGAAAGTGGCCATCCATGTACTATAAATTGTACAATAATTATCATTTATTATGTCTTCCACATTTTAATTCCTCCTTCTTAGGTTATCAAGTGAAGACTGAACAATGCTTATAATTAAAACACAGCACATTATTGAGTTTTTAAAACTTAAATTTCCAATTCAAAATTATAATAGGATATACAAAACTCAAAAGAAATAGAAAGGATTTCTATATACGGTCGCTCGTCACCTGAAGAATTTAGAAATAATTATTTTGCTTTTACAAATTGCATTGGTTCTCAATATAATTAAGGAGCAGGGACTGACATTGGCATTCTTCTAAATAAATTTGCTGTTGTCATTCACAATTAGACAACACTGAACTTGTAAACCTGCATAGAA